GGTTAAGAAGTTCCAGATCGGCTTTATTTTCCATCTGTTTTCGTTGCATTTCTGCACCTGCCTTCTTAAGTTCGGTTTCCCTTTCAGCATATTCCATATTTTGTAGCTTCGGCTCTAGCCCTCATTTTTATGATGGACGAATTTACTGACGATCTGCTCCTACGAGAGCTTCCTGATTTCAATGATATTGGTTTACTGGCATTCATTGTTTTTTTGGGCAATTTCTTGGAAAACCTCGTCTGCATAGAGTTTTACATTCGTATAAACTGACTCATGGGCTCGTTATTCTCGTTGACTTTCAGTCGTATTTTTTTCCTGTCAAATACTGAGTGAATTCTTCGGCTACTTCAAGAAATCTTTGTAAGGCTGTGCTTTTTCGGCTGTTGCACACATTCAAAGATTCGTAAGTTTCATATTCCTGTTGTGCTTTCTCGGTAAGCTTACGTGTTCGTTGTTTCTCAGAGGTACATGTATCATCCTGTGATGCTTTCTCTGCTGGTGTTGCCTCGGATTTGTCCACGGTGCTCATGGTGCTGTAGAAAATCCTTTCACTGTTACGCCAGTGTAAAGTTACAACTGCGTGTAGTTTAAACCAGTTTATTCAGAAATGTAACCGAGCAAACCAATTGGTGAAAGGCTGTAAAAGATACAAAAATTCAGTGTAGACAACGTTCGTCTAATGCAAAACAATTTTAAATGCAAAATAAACACATAGGAACGTTATGGGGAAAGTGCGTTCCATACAGACGTGAAAACATCGGCGAAATGGGGGTTTTAGACAAACATCAGAAATGTATCAAAATGTGCAAAACAGGTCAGGAATATTACGTAAACAATAAAGGAATAAGCACAGGTCAGTTAATTATTCATTCAGGTAAGCCACAAGTCGGAAAAATAAAAACTTGGGCCTAGATATGTCACGTGACCTCAATAAACAAAGGAAAATCTCTCATAATTCAATAAAACGTATAAAAACCTATATACGTTATCCATTAAACTTATCAAATAAAATAAAATACAATTTCTTACATTGTGACCAGCCTAAGCGTGTGAAATCTTAGCAAATCTATCAAAGTTGATAAACGGAAATTGCAAACATCGTAAACAACAAGTTCGAACTGTCCACTTTACTTGCGGAGGTCAGTAATGAACACAAAACGAAACGCAGAATTACGAAATTCAAAATATCAAATATTCAAATCAAATCAAATATTGATTCTAGTCATTTGCTAAACACTGTTCCAGAATAGTTCTGTTCATCAACCCAATCATTGTTTAAGATTACATCATGGTAATGATTATTGTGCGATTTCAAATAATTTAGTGCATTTTTAACCTTATTCTTCGTGATAGACTGAAACTCATAATGCCCCTTATTTGACAGCTTTTTTTAAGCTTTACTCGAATCAATTCATCCTCAGATTGACATCTTGGTAAAACATTCGTCATTTCATTTATATTACTTGGTACACAAACTGCATCACCAACTATTTTCTTATCGTTTTGTGGCGACACTTTAACTATTTTTAAAAAGACTATGTTTTTAGATATCAAGTGTTTTTCTAATTGGTTTAGACACTTTATTTCAGCTGGTATTGGACTGGGGTTCATTTTATTTACAACTGATTCTGCTGGAATATTACCTTGTAAAAGTTTTTTTATGACATTTGAAACAAATTCACAAAGATTTATAATTATCTGACCGTGAACATTTATTTGAGCATGATAATTAGTTTTAGTTATGCATTTTTTGCTACTCTTTCAATTCGTTTGCTTTTCTATTCATAAAGGTCCTCCTGGCATTCCTTAACTTGGTTTTTGAATAATAACCTATGCCAAACACAAATTATATGTTCTATAATGTTTTTGAACTTAAAAATAATCTTTTCTTTTGCTCTGTTTCTAAATGCATCATTTCTCAGATATTTTGCTTTCAGTTTACATCTCAGTTCATTTTTATACGCCCACATGAATATGTGGTCGTATATTGTCGTCGCCCCTGTCCGTCGGTCCGTCGGTCAACATTTCTTGTGAGCACTATAGAGACTACAGTTTTTATCTGATTTTGATAAACTTGGTGTGATGCTTTAGATTGATAAGATATTTTAGTTATTGCCCTTGACTTTGTTAAAACGCGTCGAAATTTGTTACAAATAGTTTGTGAGCAGGATTGAAGCTACAGATTTCAACCGATTCTGATGAAACTTGGTCATTGTGATCATTGGAATTGATGAGATCTCGGACAAGTTCTAACTTGACGCATTTTCAATGAACGGTTTTTGAGTTATAGCCCTTGACTTTGTAAAAACGCGTCAAAATTTGTTAAAAATAGTTCGTGAGCAGGATTGAAGCTACAGTTTTCAACCGATTCTGATGAAACTTGGAATTGATAAGATCTCGGACATGTTCTAACTTGACGCATTTTCGATGAATGTTTTTTGAGTTATTGCCCGTGACTTTGTAAAAACACGTCAAAATTTGATAAAAATTGTTTGTGAGCTGGATCGAAGCTACAGTTTTCAACCGATTCTGATGAAACTTGGTGTGATCATTGAAATTGATAAGATCTCGGACAAGTTCTAACTTGACGCATTTTCGATGAACGGTTTTTGAGTTGCCCTTGACTTTGTTAAAAGGTTTTGAAATTTGTTAAAAATAGTTCGTGAGCAGGATTGAAGCTTTAGTTTTCAACAGATTCTGATGAAACTTGGTGTGATCATTGATATTGATAAGATCTCGGACAAGTTCTAACTTGACGCATTCTCAATGAACGGTTTTTGAGTTATTGCCCTTGACTTTGTAAAAACGCGTCAAAATTTGTTAAAAATAGTTCGTGAGCAGGATTGAAGCTACAGTTTTCAACCGATTCTGATGAAACTTGGTGTGATCATTGACATTGATAAGATCTCGGACAAGTTCTAACTTGACGCAGTTTCGATGAAAGTAGTATGTGAGCTCATGGATTGGTCGCATTTTTCCACATTCCATTTCATTTCATGGGAAAAATGCAACCAATCTATGAACTCCCAAAAAACAAGACCTAAATTCCCTACACTTCATAAATTCATACAGCAAAACATCCTACATTTCATAAATTCTTACACTTAAAAAAGACCTAAATTCCCTACATTTCATAAAATTCTTACAACAAAAAAACACATCAATTTCCTACATTCCATCAAAAAAGCATATTAAAAATACCCTTATATAAAAAAACATCCCTGTTTCGCTTAACATCCGGTTTTTAATAGCCTCGTTTTAAGTAATGTTATTTTTAGTCTAGAAACTTCTAGAAGGGAGATAACTCTTTTTTTTCTTAAAAAAACAGACTAAATTAATTCATTTAAAAATAGGATGAGTTTAATTCTAAAACACGAACAACATAGATTCGAAGATTATTCGGGCGTAGGTATCTTTTCATCAATATTTTCTCTAGGTTCAAAAATAATTCCAAAAGTAACTAGCTTTGTTCCAAAAAACAAATCACTCCTTTCAACCGGAGCGAAAGCCATCGGCTCAATCGCGGAAGCGGGAAAGAGTATAAGCGACACAGTGAAACAATCTAACGAGTTGAAAGAATTGGAGCTAATAAGAGAACTTCGAAACAGGAGATTAGAAGAAAGGAAAGGAAAAGGTTTTAAAGTTATAGGATAAAAATGATAGTCGTTCAGGCTCCAAAAACTTATTTCGACTCAGGAGATATACAAGTTAAAGTGTTTGAAAAAGATGAAATATGGTCAGCCGATTTAATTCATATGCCAGTCGAAAGAGGATTTAAATATTGCTTAACAGTTATAGGTTTATATACGAGATATGTATGGGTTATTCCTTTGAAAAACAAAACGGGATTATCAGTCAAACACGCATTTGAAACGATTATGAAACAATCTAACCGACATCCAGAAAAACTGTGGGTAGATAAAGGAAGTGAATTTTATAACAAAAATATCAAATCACTTGGGTTTGAAATTTACAGCACGCATAACGAAGTTATGGTAATAGAAAGATTGAACAGGAAAAATAAATTATTCAAAAAGTTCACGGAATTGAAATATCAAAAATGGCTTTAAAATATTACCAGAGGTTGTAGATGAATACAATGAAAAAACTCATTTATCTATAGGTGTCACACCAACACAAGCCTCGAGTAATCCAAATATTATAAAGTCAATTAACGCGCAACATAACTACGAAAATGAAATAAAGAATTTAAATATCAAACCCAAATTTAAAGTCGGAGATCGAGTTCGTATTTTCAAATATAAAAGCAAATTCGAAAAAGGTTACGTTGGATACTGGACGAACGAAATATTCATCGTTGATAAAGTAAACACCACATCACCTCCGACATATGAATTAATCGATCAAGACAAAGAACAAATCATAGGAAGGTTTTATCAAAACGAACTTCAAAAAACCGACTTTTAAAAAATGAATGAAGAAGAATTTGATAGAAGATTAAGAGATGTAGACAAGCATTTTCGATTTCTTCAATTTAAATTCATGTTCAAAATATTATTGAATGTGTTTTATCAGAATGTAATACAATTTTTTTCAAACACAAACTACGTATATATTTTAAAAAACCGACTTTTGAAAATGAATGAATTTCTCGATACATATGGAACCGATACAACCACAAACTTTCAACTTGGGCGAATGAGTTAAATATTATCACCGTTTTATTATTGTATGAGAGATGAAATAAATGATCTGAAATATATGAAAGGTAAATTTTACGCGATAACAAATATACATACTTCCAAAAAGGAGTTCATCATTCTGCTTTGTACAAAGACTCTGACTTTTATTTCTTCGATTCTTATGGATTAGAACCCTATGAAGAGATAATCCAATTGACTAATAAACCAATCAAATGTTCAACATTTCAAATTCAATTACCGGGACAAAAGTTTTGTGGTCAGCTTTCACTTATTTTTTTATCAGTTGAGTTTAGGAAAACAGTTCAAAGAAATTGTAATAAATTTAACTCAATAAAAATGGCGAACAAGTTTGGATTGGGTTCTTTATCTTTAGAAACTAAAAAACCTAACACTACAACGTGGATAAATAAAGCGAAACCTTACTTTGTGGATCAAATCGGAGACACTCTTCAAGGTGATTTAGATATGAACAATTTTAGCATAACTAATTTAAATTAAAGTCTCCTGAAAACGATAATGACGCCATTCACAAGAAATATTTACGGGAACAAAAAAATTCAATTGAAGTAAATAAAAATCATTTAGAAGATAAAATAAGTAATGTGAAAAGATTCTTCAAACGTCAACTAAATAATAAAAATTTTGTTAATGATACTAAACTACAACAAGAGGTACAAAGATTAATGTTTTATTCAAAAAGAATTGGTCAACGTAGTGAACAAAACTGAGTTACAAAATTTAATTTCATTAATATCTAAATAAGAGGATAAGATTGCAAAACAAAAATTAGACATTCAACAATTAATAGATAGCATTCCAGATGAAAATGAAGATACGTTTCAACAGGAATTAAATGCTCTGGAAACTAAACTTAACACTGAATTACAAAAAGAACTAACAAATATTAAAAAACATATACAAAACATAGATGATAGCGAAATCAAAACCTATATTCAACAACAAATACAAAACATAGATTATAGCGAAATCAAAACCTATATTCATCAACAAATACAGAACATTGATGATAGTGTTATTCAACAACAGATAACCACTATTAATAACATAGTTTGTAAACAAGACAATAATATAGTCGCATTAGAAAAAAAGTTTCTCAAGAAAGAATCATATTATTTCAATCTTCCATTTAGAAGATTGACTCGTGATGATGCTTCTATTTCTGATAATACTGATAAATCAAAAGAGTATGAATATAAAAATATGGATTTACAGTAAATATAAGATTATATTCTGTTCCAAATTATACTATTTATTCCCATAATATTTTTAATTTAGATGATGATTTATCTTATCAACCAATAAATATTGTTTTCCGAGGAAAACTTTCAATTGAAATAACTTTTCCTTTTTAGGTGACAGAAAAACAAAACGAACTAAAAGAAAAACTAAAACAATTCAACAAATTTTAATGTAGAAAAACATGGAGTAGAATCAAAACATTAAGCACAGTTTTAACAGTAGGGATAACGGTGGCAACAGCCGTAACCGGTGGATTAAAGCTTCCAATAATTGTCCCAACTGTATTAGCCGCGTTCACTGCCGTTCAAACTTCATCTTTTGGTTTGATTACTTTAGGTTTTACATCAAAACAGAAAGCTCATTTAAAAGGAAAACAGAAATTTTAAATACATATCTTAATAAATTGTTTATATTTTTCGAAAGATCGAGATTAGACAAGAACATAACAGTTGAAGAATTAGAAAAATTTTGTTTGATAAGAAGAAATAACAAAACCTTAGGCATTAAAGAAATAGAAGATAATTACGATGAAAATGTATGGAGAACTTGTAAAGATGATAATGCGGTAACGCAAGTTTCACCTCTAAAACTAAACGTTTTTTCAACCATTCCCGATGATTGTTTATACGCGTGGGATTGCGAAACCTATAACGAAAATAAAGCCATACCTTATTCTTGCACGTTGATTAATTTAGAAAAACTAAGAAAAATGTTAAACATAATAAATAATCTCTCTCCAGATTTAAAGCCGACAGATCCCATTCCAGAAGAATTTTACAACAAACTCATGACTAATAATAGATTGTATCGATCAAATGTTACAAGGTTTAGGAAAAATAGATCAAAAAAGAATAACATTAATTGCTCATAACGTTAGCGGTTTTGATAAGTGGATCATGATCAAAAACGTAAAAAAACTAACACAATGTCCTTTAAAAACGCCGAGGGGAATTCTGTCTCTACCTTTAACTAATTCATTCACCGATGAAGATTTACAGAAAAAATGGAAAAGACAGAAAGAAATAAAGGGTAACTAATTATTTGCAAAATATTAATTTCATATGTTCCTATCAACACGAATCATCTAGTTTGGCAGCATGGGGAAATTCATCTAATCTACCAATGAATTTGAGAAAGATCGGGGATGTTAATATTGCAAAATACACTAAAGATAATTGGGAATCTTTAAGACACGAATGGGAACCTTACGCTAAAAGAGATACGTTATGTCTCGGAGCTTCTTTGATACAATCAAGCAATGAAAGAAGTTGTATTTCAGAATATTTCCAATAATCTAACAGCTCCTTCTTTATCTTTAAAGGGTTGGTATTATTTATATCATTACGATAAAGAAATGATTGAAGAAGAATGGTATGAAACTACTAGAATGGTTCCGAAACACACCGAAAAAGAAAACGTAGAAAAAGTTTACTCACATACTCACCCTTTTATAAGATATTTTATCAAAGTATTAAAAGAGGAAGAGTTTCGGCAAATCGAAAATCATTTGAAACGAATAAAATGGATGAAATTTGTAATATATTAAGTGAATACAGTGCAAGTGACTCTAATAATATAATTGATTTATTCAAAGAATATAGCGCTTGCACGAAAGATAAAACGGAGGTTCATTCGAGACTAAATGTACTAAACTAATGACCTTTGATGCTAACGGTTTGTACGCTTCCGCAATGGCGGATTTAGATAGCGAATATCCGAGAGCGGAAAGTGGTAGACCATTTCTACCGGAAGAAAATAAAGAATTTGTCAAGATCTTTAATGAACAGAAATTCAGACCTAGAACTGCTATTTTAAAAGTCTGGTTTGAATATCCCAAAAACATGTTCTTCCAAACCCATACCAGCTAAAGATAAAATCACTTTCACGAGTAAAAAAGAAGGTAAAAAGGAAACTGGCACTAAAATCAGATTCGTAAATGGTTTCTGTCACAACGTTTTAACATCTGACATTTAACATCTGATAGATCTAAGAAATAAATATAAACGAGAAGGTAATATTGTGGGTAGCAATTGCATGAAATTATTAGGCAATTCGTTGTATGGTAAATCTATTCAGAAGGATATAAATACATCGAGACATCTATGGAGTGAAGCGACTTTAAAAGCCAACTTCGATTCACACGTCAAAAGCTATGAAAAAGTAAAAGATAGTCAATATATAGTTCAGATGAATGATGAAGAAAAAGAATTTATTCCTCCTAAATCTACACGACTAACACCTAGTCATTTGGGATCATTCGTTTTATCTCACAGTAAAAAAATAATGAATAATTTCATTCGCGTAATAGATGGATTTTATAAGCCTGAAATATACTATACGGATACCGATAGTTTATACATTTCGTCTAGCAATTGGGATAAATTATATGAAGGTGGGTTGGTGTCCGAAAATGATTATTGTAAAGGAAAGAATGATTACGGTGATGGTGGAATTATATTTGGTTTATATTTAGCGCCAAAAGTTAAATACAATATCATTCTAACTTCCGATGGTGTTTTAAAAGAAAAGAAAACGTTTAAGGGTTACTCTAAAGATAAGATATCCGTAGAAGATTATATTCGATTAGCTAGTGGACTCGATGTAACGAATGAATTTAAGAAACCTTGGGTAAAAAGTTTCACCAATGGAGTAGTTATTCCAAAGGATGATGATAAACAAAAGAAAGTTTTTAGAAGTTATCTAAATCTCGTTAAGAGAAAAGCACCAAACAGTGAAGGAATCATGTATCCTTACAACGACGGAAAAGAATTGAACATAGATGAAAACTACGAATTTGGTGATTTCGATTACCTTACTATTCAAGAAGAGAATGAAGAGTGTTAATTTTTTTGTTTTAAATGAAGTTGAATAACAATTTCCTGGTTACCAAAATCTATAAACATATTTTTACCCTCTTTAATTTCCAGATTTATATCTTTAATCATAAAGGAATGAAGTGGTAAATACGTCGTTTGAAATGGTTTCTCTATAATTCTATATCCTATCGGTACAGTGAATGTTGGAAGACTGTATTTATTGAAAAATCCACCGTTCATTTAATTGCAATGTATATTTATGACATCGATATCATTCTCGATATTAGCTTTGTGTGGTGCTAAAGTGGATTGGGTGTATACTCGTTTATCAAATCCTAGTAACGTATTCAATGAATTTTCTACGTTGAAATCAACTTGACTATTATTTCTTAATATCAATTTTATTTTGTTCAGATTCAAATGACCTTCGAATTCAATATTGTTTTTACCATTAACACTTCATCCATATTCAGACAGATATTCGTTAATGGCTATGTATTCGTAGCTTCCTGGTAGTAAACGTATGGTTTTGAGATAGCTCCGTTATCTGTTGATATTTTTATTTGGTTATTTTTTTTCGTTAATAATTCTAAGAGAAATACTTTAATCTCAATTCATATTCTTGATTGCGATCGAATTCGTACTCATAATCTAGAGATAATTTAATGTCAGATTTATTTGAGGTGATAACGAATAGTTGTTCTTTATTTGACATTTTTAATCACGCTTTTATAATCACTTTTATCTATGATACCCTTTTCTATGAGTCTTTTTAATATACAATTTACTTCATTATATTGTCTGTGTGATCGATGTCCTTCCTTCATTGCCGCTAATATAATTTGTAATCTTTTAAGTAGTTTCTCGTTGTTGTCGGATGAAAACTTTATACCTTCTCCAGATACCATATCTTCGAATTCACCTATTTCTTGCGTGATTGGTGGATAATCTTCTGCATAATCATCTGATTCCTCTTCATCAGGAATAACTTGATAATATTTAAATATGTTTCAACTGCCATCAATCTTTTTGTTTTGCGCTTATTCTTTATCATATACAGAAATTTTAAGTATTCTACTAAATCCTTGCGTTTGGCAATCTCAATATCCCCGCCATTCATTAAATCTATTAATCCTTCTGTTGTTGTAAATATAAAGTCTTTTTTATCGATTTCGAATAAAGGGTAAACATTACTAAATAGTATTGAATCATATTGATTCGGTTCTGGGTGATGAGGTTCTATAGAAGGTGTGGGTTCTATAGGAGCTCTATATTCTAAAGCTAATTTCTTTTTAATATCCTCTTGAGATTTTAATATTGGTTGAAATAGAGTTTGTAGATTTTCCGTTAATCCAGGTTGTTGTAATCTGTTATTTTCAACTTGGGTCTTTATTTTATTCTTAGCTTTTATATATTCTTTGTTTCTTTTTAAAATATTATTCCAATTATCCATTTTTTAAAAAAAAAATTTAACAAATATCTGTCATAACTCTTTCACCCGCAGGTTTTCTAGTATTAACGAATATATATCCATGTTCATCTGGGTTTTTCCATTGAGCTTTACAAACCTTTTTAAATACATCTCTGTCCATTCCGTGATTTATCGACTGAATGATTTGAGATAAATCTTTATCGTTTAATTCAAATAATAAAAACAATTTGCATTTTTTCTAATAAACATAGAATCCATCCCGTAAAAAGATTGGGATTGGTATATGCAGTGACAGTTGTGATGTCTTCCCTTCGTGAAGAATTCTTGTTGAACAGCTTGATTTCTTTGCGCTACGCAGTCGTCAAATAATATTAAGTTCTTTGGTTTGCTATCAATATTAGACAAGTCTAGATCATTAATATTTTTCGTAAGCAAAACTTTTATATCCGTTGGTTTCTTTCCTTCGATGTAGTTATCTAAGATATCTTTTATTTCCACTTCTTCTTCGTTTTCTTCGTAATACTGAAATAGGTCTTGAACATCTTTCTTTGGTAGATATTCTAAAGCTTTGAGAAATTTATAATACGATTGCTCTGGTGTTGTTGTGTAGATAGACAAAGAATCGAAATCTAAAAGGTTTGGTGTTGTCAACATGTTAAAAGTGAGATGAGTTTTCCCAGAACCGGAACTACCGCATATACACATGAGCATAGGGTTATTAGGAAATATTTCTGAATGATTAAATTGTTTGCCCATTTTTTATTATTTTAATTTTTTCCAAAAATACTCCTTCTCCTTTATACTTTGAAAGATATCATTCCTTCTCCAGTGTGTATATTTTTTAAAAATATTCCATTACCCTTATGTTTGACTTTGACTTCTCCCGTGTCAATACTATCTACTAATTTATTTAATCCTTGTTTAACAGTTTTCTTGGTTTCTTCCCCAAATTTTTTTCCAAATTCTTTTATTTTGCCTATCATATCTCCCACTCCTGAACCTCGTGCCTCCTTTTCAATTGCCAAATTATGTCTGCGTTCTTCAGCTGCTGTTACTGCAGTTGCTTTATTTGAGTTGATGGCTCTTGCTATTCCAGTAGCCACTGCAATACCACCAAATATTAAAGGTAGAAGGAAAGGTAAAAATCCACATTCTTTTGCGTTCGCGTCAATTCTTTCTAAATCTATATCATCTCTGGATTACAATTTTGTATTTATCAATAAGTGTTTTTAGTTATGTTGATTTTTTTACCATTGAAAGTTATTACAGTTGGGGAAGCTGTATCAATAGCTTCTATTATTTTCATAACTAAAGTTTCTACTTTCATTTTTAAGGGTGTATTTTTTACTCAATTCTTATCATTCTTCTATCTGCTATTTTAATTAAATGTTTTGCTTCTTCCAATAATAAACAATAACCTGTTACATCTCCTTCTGTCAATGTGAATATTTATGTCCACTCCTGTTTTGAAAAGATCTTCTTGGTGAGCTGATAGATCAAAACAGAAGATTGGATGATTAAGTGCAAAATCTACATATTCAAACTGAGGTGGATTTCCAAATAATTCACACATGTTTTTAAAGTTTCTATACAATTCATTATAATCCTTTGTGGTTGGATTAATTGTTAAAGGTTGGTTAGGATAATTATCGTTGTTTAATCTTACTTGAACTTTATGGATTAAAGGATCTTGAGTTTGGTTCATTGCCACTCTAAAGACATTATTGTTATTCGTTTGAGAATCTGGTAAGTTCTTGAAACCAACTATTAAATATCTTGCTGGTTTTATAGTGTTAGTGATTTGGCAGGTGGTGTATTCTCCCGTTAAAGTCATGCTACCTACCGTGTTACGATGAAGAAAAGCTATTTCAATATCTTTAGTTAACGAGTTGAATATTCTCGTTTCTACTTCAATTGATGGTGTTATTACGGGTATGAAAAGTTGGAGATTCGTTATTTCTAATTTTGCATCTGAACCATTCTCTCCAAAGAATATCTTATCGTCGTTGATTTCTCTTTGTAGATGAATTTTATATGGTAACCCTATGGAAACTTTTCTGTGTTCCAACAGACTGAATAAAGGATATAATTTCCAATTTACGTAATTACCCCACCTATTATTCTCAACAACATTATTATATTGAAGTACTCGTTTTTCGAATTAGCTGCTCGTGCTACTCTTTCTATTGTGTTTCGAGCAACAACTCTCACTCTAGCTAAATCAGCATCATTTGCAAGATTTCTTACCGGTTCTTTTAAAACACTTCCATCGCCAACATCGGGTATCCAACCCGAGACTGAATCGAAATCTTTAGGATATAAAACTGTTTTCAACATTGTGTCGAATTCCCCAGGATGTTCGATTGTTTCTATCGGATTTGAACCTGCTTCCAAAACCATCTCGCTAAACAAAGATGGAAAGAAATTGTTTTCTAACGTTGTATTTGTTTGTGGAACACGATTTTCATTGGGAGTTCCATCTTTAATTTTGAAATCGCATCTGAAATAAGCATCGGAAAGAAGCAACCAATTCGATAATGAATTTATTTTGAAGGTAATCAATTTGCGATTTAGAACCAACAGTGAGATGATAATATAATCCTCTTTTTTCTTGTTAAACGAATAACGAATCGGATCGTATAATCTAAAGATTTGATCTAGTATTTTATTTGCCATTTTTAAGGTTTAAAATTTAAGTAGAAAATTTCCAAAAAAGAGTTATCTCCCTTCTACATTTTAATATGCTGTTTTTGATGGAAAGTAGGAAATTGATTGAAGGTGTTTTTTTGGTGTAAGAATTTTATGAAATGTAGGGAATTTAGGTCTTTTTTAAGTGTAAGAATTTATGAAATGTAGGATGTTTTGCTGTAAGAATTTATGAAATGTAGGGTATTTAGGTCTTGTTTTTTGGGAGTTCATAGATTGGTTGCATTTTTCCCATGAAATGAAATGGAATGTGGAAAAATGCGACCAATCGATGAGCTCATATACTACTGATAATACTAATGATAAATATACTAATAAAAATAGTTTGTGAGCAGGATTGACGCTACAGTTTTCAACCGATTCTGATGAAACTTGTTGTGATCATTGGAATTGATCAGATCTCGGACAAGTTCTAACTTGATGCATTTTTGATGAACGGTTTTCGAGTTATTGCCCTTGACTTTGTAAAAACGCGTCAAAATTTTTTCGTGAGCACAATAGAATCTACAGTTTTCAACCGATTCTGAACTTGGTGTGATCATTGAAATTGATAAGATCTCGGACAAGTTCAAACTTGACGCATTTTCGATGAAATGTTTTTGGGTTAATGCCATGAAAAACGCTTCAAAATTTGTTTGTGAGCACAATAGAAGCTGCAGTTTTTAATCGATTCTGATGAAACTTGGTGTGATCATTGGAATTGGTGAGATCTCGGACAAGTTCTAACAAGAGATATTTTTGATGAACATTTTTTGAGTTATTGCCCTTGATTTTGTAAACACGCGTCAAAAGTTGTTTTTTGCCCTTGATTAGAGCTGTGTGATTTAATTGTTTGTTGTATTTGGGTTATTGATATTGATTTGAAAAAATTTTGTGGAATTATTCAGCATAAATAATTTCTTCAATATGAGAAAATTCGTACTTTAGTCACTGAAGACTGTTTTATTATTTCTGACAGCTGCCAGCAACGCAAGCTATCTTTATATTTCTGTATTAATTCAAGTCTTATCTCAGATGCATATTTCTCTTGAAGTTTCAATCCTAAAATGGCTACATATTTTCTTTTAAAGGTTTACATCATAGGGTTTCATACTTATATTTCAATTCAGGTTTTAATATAGCTTCATACTTATGTTTCAATTCAGGTTTTAATATAGCTTCATACCTATGTTTCAATTCAGGTTTTAATATACTTTCATATTTGTGTTTTAATTCAGGTTTTAAAATAGCTTCATACTTCTGTTTCAATTCAGGTTTTAATATAGTTTCTTATTTGTGTTTTAATTCAGGTTTTAATATAGCTCCATACTTCTGTTTCAATTCAGGTTTTAATATAGTTTCATATTTGTGTTTTAATTCAGGTTTTAATATAGCTTCATACTTCTGTTTCAATTCAGGTTTTAATACGGTTTCATACTTCTGTTTCAATCCAGGTTTTAATACAGCTTCATACTTATGTTTCAATTCAGGTTTTAATATAGTTTTGTACTTCAGATAGCAATGAAATCTTAAATAATTTTCGTAGGCTACTTTCTTAGTTTTACCCGATTCTTTCCTTCTTAGATTTAATATTAAATTGTATGCTTTACTCTTTTGTTGGCAGTATCTATCATGAAGATAAACTTTCTTCTTTTCTGAGCATTGAAAACGCTTCTTGGAAAAAGTCCACTTATGACCACGTTTTACGTCTTTTAATCCCCAAGTCTTTCTTTTTGAAAGAAGTAAAACTGTTACCATCATTCCTGTCATCCCTATCAGCTGTAACCCTTGCAACATCTTCTACAATTTCATAATGATTACCATTCTTGTGGTTCAAGTAAACTCATTGAGAGTATAATTTTCATTCATCTGTAAAACAGGAAATTTTAACCATGCATTATTTGAATATGTATAGATATCAGTTTGAAATAAATTGGCAGAAGCATAAATCTCTACTTCAGTGCTCCAAGTTCCCAATATTCTAATTTTAGAACGTTTAATGTAATCATCAATTGAAAGATTAATTGGTTCTAAAAATTTCTAGATTCGATTTCATATGTCGCACTACAGCCAAACGTATTTTGTGGTGGTATTCTTCACTTTTTGTAAGGGAGTATGATAATGATCGAAAGAGACAATTTCCATCACCTTTAATTAATAAATATCTGGTAGGAGTTGTCAGTAGACAAACATATACATCATATGGGAAACCGAAATCTACAGCCTTCAAACCAATTGACTTGCTTATTCGTCTTTGATTTTCTGCTTTAAGTGGTTCAAACAAAAATGAATTGGTTTCAACTTGCAAAATCTGTACATCATTATCAGTGGTCAAATTTGTCTCAATTGGAAAAGATCCATTTTCAAAAAAGAGATATGGTCATCTAAATGAGATATGGGTTTATCTTTCTTAAAAGAGCTGCAAGGTACATTGACGGTTTCAGAACCGTTTATTCATATTAAACGTTACAAAGCATGCTTCATAAGTACTTAAACAAACAACAAGTGCATCATTCAGAGAGAGACTAAAATCGTTAGATATACCAATCAACCCAAATTGGGTTCGTTACTGATGTCCAATTTGAAGGACTGATTTTCTAATTTTATATTTTCTATAAGTTCATTTATAAAAATGTACGGATGTCTAATATTAGAAAAGGATTGCAGGTATGTATAATACTCATTACCTAACTCTAGAATTCTATCGAGAGTAAAACTAGTCCATAAATGTAAGTCCATTATCCTGAAGTAAACAATGGCAACTAACGAATTGGGTATACCTATTTAGGGGTAACATTTTGCTTTAATGGGTCATTTAATAAAGCTATATCAAAACAGACTTCACAAGCTAAGAAGGCCCTACATAGCCTGAATACTATTCTAACCCTGTACCAGTATTAACTTACGGTTGTTTGGGGTTTTGCAAACATTACCCACCTTGAAGTATTTTTACCGAAATTTTCTTAGGCGTATTTTAAGACTTAATTCAAAAACAGCTATATCTATGATTACGGTGAACTGGCACGTTTCCTTTACAAGTTCTGATACAAACTGTTTTTGGCTTGGGGTTGTTCAAGGACAATCTATTAAATTTTCTTACACATTGTTAATGCTTCTCAAAAGTCTCCACGGAAGAAATATATAGATCACCCTGGATTAGTAAAATTAAAAAATAATCTCGATTCCTCAGGCATGTCATATGTTTGTAATAATTACCAAACTGTTAACCTAATTTGGCACAAAAGCGCACACAAACTGCGTATTAAAGATATTTACCAGCAAACCTGGTAAGAATCATTATCAAATGATAAACTATGTATGAATTATAAAATGTTTAAAACAAATCACCAATTTGAACCCTATTTGTCATACTTATACGCTAATCAGCTCACTGCTCTCTGTAGATTTAGATGCGGAACCATTGGTTGCCATACTCATAGTAAAAGCTCATAAATGTTCCTATTTCGATGATGCGAGAAGATTTTATTTAAAACACTATTATAACATATATCCAAATACTATAAAAATGAGTCAATTGTTTTCTTGTAATAACAAAAATCAGCTGTCTAATTTAGCTAAATTTGTAATTATAATAATGAAAAGCTTTTGAAAATAACAATACTGTTACATTTAGCATCTTGTAAATGTTCTTTGTACCTTTCCGTCACATTTAATTGTAATATTTATGTACTTCTCATTTGCCCTTAGGGGTCGCAAGTCCCAGTTTGTTATCGAAATGTCAATTCTTTTTTTTGGATAACAAACTGGGACTTTGCAGTTTGTTATCGAAATGTCCATTCTTTTTTTTCTTACACACCTTCCTGAGCTTAGACTGCAATAGTTGCAGCAACCATTCAACTTCTCTAGACCTTCTGTAGTGGCAACGTGTTCCTGAAATATATATTGGAACATTTTTGCAAAACCGGAAGTGCCACAGTTCAACATATGCAAAAAGTCGAAAATCGGCTCTAGAAGGCGTATTTTTGCATCGATTTTCTTCGGGTTTTCATTTTTACAATCTACTTGTAATTTCTGACCTGATAGCACTTGAAAAATTACGAAATTCGAAATTTCGTCGCTCACTTTTTTCGATCAAATTTTTCAATTTTGTTGCAACTTTTTTGCTTTTGCATCGATTGATCTGAAATTTAATATGCAAAGGGGCATCACTAAAGTAAATAATATAGTTGTCAAATGATTAACTTTACTTCCGGTTTTAAACGGGGAATCAATTGAAAGAACAGTCCACTTCCGGTCGAATAACTTCCGGTGTAATTAAAATATGTCAACGAAATTTATGTTGATAGTAAGTAAATGCTATTACAAAAAAACGAAGAAAAAAAAATCCAGACCGGAAGTGATACTTTGGCCGCCATATTGAAAAAACACACTTGTGTAAAACTCAAAATCGGGCCTCAGGGTAAATGTTGATATGCTCAAATTTGATGTGAATGTATTCCGCAATCGATTGCGCAAAAAACATTGGGAGCCGAATTTTGAATTTCGCTTTTGCTTTTTTGCAACTTCCGGTTGAAATTTGTTCATGCTTTAAACGATCACACCATGTGACCTTGACCTTTGATGACCTTGACCTTCATAGGGTCAAAGGTCATAGACCTTGACTATCATTTGATTCTTTGAGCTTTGACATGTACTTCCGGTTTTATAGCTATCCGTTTTATAGTCGTGTGCAATTAGAAATTTTGATGACGTATATCTCTTGATCTTGACCTTTTTAGACCTTCTCTTTTACAAGATCAAAGATCATTGACCTTGGCTATCTGCTGATACTTTCATTTGTGAGGTCTGACGTCTACTTGCGGTATTAGAATCTTCTAAAAAATGAAAATTTCTCAACTTTAGACTGTTCTTGCACTTGATCTAATTATCGTCCAAGGTTGATTTTTTCGGGGTCTTTTGCAATTTCCTACATTTGCAAAGTCCCACTCTGTGCCACGTGTGGCTCTATTTTTTTTTCGAAATTTACAACCTTCCGCAATCGATTGCGCAAAAAACATTGGGAGAAGAATTTTGAATTCCGCTTTTGCTTTTTTGCATCTTCCGGTTGAAATTTATTCATGCTTTAAACGATCACACCATGTGACCTCGACCTTTGATGACCTTGACCTTCAAGGGTCAAAGGTCATTGACCTTGGCTATCATGTGATACTTTGACCTTTGACCTCCGACATGTACTTCCGCTTTTATAGCTATCCGAAAAAGCCAATTTCGCAATTTTAGACTGCTCTAGCACGTGACCTAATTAACCTTGAGGGTTAATTTTTTCGGTTTCCTAATGTGCTTTTCATGCACTTAACATAGATATAGAACAATTGCTTTTTTAAAGCAAAATTGAAATTCAAATTTGAGTTTTGTTTACCAAATTTGTGTCTTTTTGATCTTGGTGTATGTATATCTTATGACCTATTTTATGTAGAACCTTGATATTTGGAATACAACTAGACACTTTGAATATAAACTCACCTATGACAAAAAAATTGGGGTGGGCGTGGCACATACGGGTTGAATTACTAATTGTTTATATTTTGGGGCTGGGGCATAACTCGCATAGGATACGTTTGTTAAAACAGAGACTTTGCACACAATTACCTCATCCTTTTGGCCAGTTTGTGTTAACAGATCAGTTGTTTCAGCTTTATAGTTCCAAAAAAGGAACGGGTTTTAACATTTGGATATTTTCATTTTTCGATTTTGACCTTTGTTGACCTATATCTTTTGACCTGAATAATGTAGAAGCTTGAAATTTAAAACACAACATAACATGTGGAATATCAATTACCCTATGCAAAAAAAATTAAGGTGGGAGTGGCACATCTGGGTTATATTACTCATTATTGACATTTTTGGCCAGGAGCATAACTCGCAAAGTATACATTTGTTCAAAATGGAACTTTGCATACAATTATCTCATGTTTTGAGCCACTTTGTCTTAGAAGTTCGGTTGTTTCCGCTTCATAGTTCAAAAAAAGGAACAGGTTTTGGAAATTCAAAATTTTCAATTTTTGACCATGACCTTTGTTGACCTTGACCTTTGTAGGATCAAACGTCATTGGCATTGGCTATCTATTTATACTTTTATATTTGCTGTCCTATGTCAACTTCCGATTTTATAGTCGTGTGCAATTAGATATTTTGATGACGTATATCTCTTGATCTTGACCTTTTTAGACCTTCTCTTTTACAAGATCAAAGGTCATCAGCTATCTGCTGATACTTTCATTTATGAGGTCTGACGTCTACTTCCGGTATTAGAATCTTCTAAAAAATGAAAATTTCCAAACTTTAGACTGTTCTTGCACATGATCTAATTATCGTGGAAGGTTGATTTTTTCAGGGTCTTTTGCAATTTGCTACATTTGCAAAGTCCCACTCTGTGCCACGTGTGGCTCTAGTTATTATTATTATTAATATGCAAATTTCCAAAATTCTATTTTTTCCTCTTAGCCCATCCTATCACACAAAAATAATTTTGAAAGAAGCTTTTATAAGTATTTTTTAGCATTCATTTAAAATTACCTTTTTGCCTTAAAATAAGGCCTAGCACAGCAGTGCAGTGAAAGGGGTCATCATCGTCCAGGATTGTTTACTGTTATATGTACTTCTTTTTTTTATAGATACATTTGGTAAAAGAAGATAAACTGTATCCACACAACTTAGAAAGGAAGGAATGGGATGCTTATGATCCAAATTTAATTGCGGAAGCCATGTTTGCGGCAGCTAATATATTTAGTTCTCTTAAACTCATCTATATATTCACCGTAAACCCTCATTTAGGACCATTACAAATATCATTAGGACGGATGATAATGGATATATTACGATTTATGATGATCTACTTTTTGGTACTATTTTCATTTGGTTGTGGTTTGACTCATCTGTATTGGTACTACGCTCATCTAAGAGCACAAGAATGTCAAAATAATATCCTTGAATCGTGTGATAGAAAATACCGAAGTTTTGCCAAGTAAGTTTTTTTTTCAAATTATAAAGACATTTGCATGCTATTTACGAGGAGGATATTCCCCAAGTATGACATTTTATTACCATCTATTTCAGCTTATTTGAAATAATACAGAGCTTATACTGGTCCATGTTTGGCTTAGTTGATTTGGAACATGCTGAGTTGACTGAATTCAACCACGATTTTACTGAGTTAATAGGCAAATTAATGTTCGGCACATATAGCTTTATTGCTTTTATAGTATTATTAAACATGCTGATTGCCATGATGAGTAACTCATACCAAATAATATATGTAAGTATTAAATTGTTATGCATATATATGTGTGTATTAAGTTCCCTAAAAGTCGTGAAAATTGGAATGATGATTTTGAAGCGTGAAATGACGTCACCTTGGCATTTACGACGGCATCTTATCTTACGATTGAGACGAAAATTTACTATGTCAAAATAACAAAAACTAATACTTATTATGCTAGAAAAATGTAAAAAATTCATACCATGCGTTGGTATTTATGAGCTGCATCTGTTCTGAAGTATTTTCTTAAAAAAAGTATAGGGTATAGCTTACGATAATTTCTTAGTGTAAGAAGTTTAGCCCCGCTCTTTTAACATGACATGAGGAAATGGATTGATTTCAGGTCTGAAGAGAATATTCGTAAAAGACTTCAAACAAAGTAATAAAAAGTGAATGGGCGGGTAAAAAAACTGAATACTGCGCAGATATAAGTACGGAAGCATATAGGGGACATATAATACAGAATAATATTTTTCTTATCTCATGATTTCGACTAAGCATCTCGTGGACACCACTTTGCGCCTCGTGCATCTCGTGGATATCCACTTGTTGATATCGTTGGATTTCCACCACTGGGTAAGACCCTCTAATGATGTGATACCAGGGTCCTAATATCTGCAACTAGACTGGTATGTAGATCGCCACGTCCAAACTGCCTCTCTATCTTTGTAAAAATATCTGTTATAGTGCTAAATGCACACCCATGAGATGCGAAATTCGCAAATTTTGTGCTGAACTTTGGATAGTTTGTGGAAAACATCAGTTCAGGAGTCTTTCTAAGAATCAGCGATTTCATTTTGGGACTGTTGGTCAGTCATTTTCATGATTAAAATCAGAAGTTATCAATCCGGCACAAACCTAGGCTGCAGTAAGCATTCAGATCATCGCTACATTTTAGGCTACCACACAAGGTCATTATCAAACAAACAATCGGTATTCGTTGCATATGAGAAGGTTAATAGCGACTGCCTTTATTGTTGTGGTACTGTTTTTTTTTGCATTGTAATAGAACTGTTCTTTCAATTGAATTCCGAATACGGGGTAGCTCTATCTACTGCAAAACAGACCCCTTTAATACAGACCACATTATAAGACTGGGGCTATTTACCACGTTAATTTTCATTCAAAAAGAATAGGGGGTTACCACTTAATTAATAGTTATAGCCAGATATTCAACAAGCACAATAACTTGGGGATAATGGTTGTTCGAACGCGAATTGAGTCGGTTATATTAGATTACATAGAGGTATATACTGTACGCACTTTTTTCATTATATCTCCATTCCGAAAACTGCATTTCTCAGAAATTTTAGAGTATAATTTGACCACATATATATTTAACATTGTTAAGCATTTCATTTGGATCGGTCCGTAAGTTAAGCAGCTAGTCGTACCACGTAGGTTGTTTGGGAAAGGGAGGTAACCCACGACTCAATGACAGGAATTTATCTTATTGAATAAAACAAGATAGTATAATAAAAGCCCGAGTTTCAAAGAAATCGAACAATAAATTTGCATTGAAATCAATGCCACGCAATATTAATTATTTCATACCACAGAAATTATGATGCATATTATTTAAAACAGTTAACGGCCTATCTCACTGGTCTGGTGACTAGTTGGCGACTGCAAAGTCTCTGCTTGTGTCCAACCGGATCTTTGAAAATTATTTTAGTCTCCGATAGGTCTCAAAGACGTCTTGCGCAGAGACTAATTTTGTCTGCACTGCATCAACTCCCAGACGTGTTGAAGACCATGGAGACGTTGCTGTGACGTTGTTTTCGGGTCTCCGCGACGTGTCCGAGGTGGCTTGATTTGGGTTAGAGACTACGCGACTTAGGTGCGAAGTGGCTGTCATCCTGTCAAGTGAGTCTGTTTGTGCAGTGCTGTACTAATGGCTGATAACCAACTATCACAATAAATAGAAAGGTTTGGAGACGGGCTTCCCGTCTCATCATTTGCGGATTAGAATCTTCAGAAAGACACGAGAAATAAATATATCGTAGTACGCTTGAAGGATTTTGACGAAACTTGGTGAAATTGTTTATTATTAACAAACGATGAACCCTATCACAATATAACTTGTTCTTTAGCTTGTACAAGGCACACTTATTGATAAAGTTAGATAAAACTTCATAATAATCGAATTGTGCAAATTCGATGAAATCTTAATAGTTGTGACTTAACTATACCAGAAAAGATATATTTTGTGTGAAAGGAGCTCTTGTGCAAGAGTTGATGATTATCAGTTTCTTAAGAAATACACTTTAATATCCAGTTTATTTGTTTCTGCTATCTCCCTTACAGATAGTGGTATCGAGAAAGTCTATGCTTTTGCCACTCACGCTTGATAGAAGGATGGTGGTTGTTGAGAATTTCAAAGAATTCCCAAAACTGTTCGATAGAATAAGTCCAAACCATAAAAAATGTCATCCAAGAAGCGTCCGTAAAAAGGTGGGTCAAATGGACAGAGGGGCAACACCTCACGTTCCCACTCTGCAATGAAAAGGTTTGCGTACGAAGGGGCGAATCGTTTGCCCATAGCTGTCCATGAAGTTTGTAAATATGTTTTACCATTAAATGTGAAATCGATTCGACTAAGACAAATATCTAAAAGCTGTAGAATTGCATCGTCGGGTCTGTTTGGATCTGGGTTTCTATTAAAAGCTTTACGAACTGCCGTTAAACCAGTAGTGTTATCGATATTGGTATACATAGAAGAATAGAAATTAAAATAGCATTAGAGGGAACTCGAAGATTTTTTATTTTATTGACATAATCGGTTGTGCCTTTAAGGTAGGCGCGATATTGACAGCTAGAGGTAGTAAGAAATGATCAATGTATTCTGACACTGCATACGACTCACTACCACAGTCAGATATAATCGGGCGGCCTTTAGGGATTTTATTCGAGATAAACCTCTCCTTGGTAAGATTCTTGTGGATTTTACGCAAAGTGTACAAATGTGTCTCGCGACAACCAGGATTGGCAGACAGATAGTCCTATTGTTTCTGTTTGAGATAACTAGTTTTGACTAAATCGGCAAGAATATTGTTAATCATATTAGAAGTTTCTTTGAAAATTGGTTTCGGTAAAATGGCATAATGTTTAGGATTATTCAGTTGATTCGCTGCTTCTGAAACGTAATCCTCCCTACTCAGAATGACACAACATGAACCTTTGTCACTCTTTTTAATAACAATGCTATCGTCTTTCTTAAGTGAGTTTATCGCTTCACGTTCCACTCGTCTGAGGTTAGGCTTTTCGTGTGTTATGGAAAGGTTCGCTGTTTGTCTATTCATATTCGCCAATGCTTTCAATATTTCAGGATGAATGGCGGCCTGAGGGGGTATCCACGTGGATTTAGGAATAAACATTGTTCTAGCACCACGTGGGGGTGGTTACGAAAAAAATATGTGCAGCTAAGATTTCGTTGAAATCGTTCAATGGATGGTCGGAGATAATTTAAGTTGGCTATCTTTGGTGTGGTAATAAACATAAGTCCGCGGTCTAAGATTGAATGCTGAAGGGGTGTAAGAATTTTGCGGCTCAAGTTAACTACAGTTTGGCCTAGCGGTGGCCTCTCAATATGTTTATCCCTAGTAATTAGTTTACAGACTTACTCGATGCTTGAAGCTGGTGTATCGAAACAAATGTAGTGTGTAACTGGATTTATTAATCTGGGGTTGAGGTTTTGCTATACAGCCCCAGAATCACGCAAAATCTCTCCGTTAACGGGAGCAAATGATGTACAAATGATAAAAATAAATAAGGATAATGATATAAACAAGAAAAGTAAATAAGGGACGAAGACGGGAGCAAGCCAAAGGTTAATTAAATTTTGAAAAGTAAATAAAAGCCAAAAAGATAAAAGAATAATTTTAATTCATCACATTACCCACGCCTCCGTCCAATGCGTCACGCATTGCACAAAGTGAAATAACAATAGAATAAAAACAATACAAAATGAATAGGCCTAGCCTCTACAACAACAATCGCTCGCCAATCTCTACCTCTCAATCCGTCTCTACTCTCACCGTCCTCCTCTCTCCATCCTCCGTCATACTCTCTACCTCTACCTTCTTTCTCCTCTACTTCCTCACCATCACCCAACGTTTCCAAAGAGTCTCCACCTGCACTACTCTCTTCACTAATATCACTATATAAAGAGAAATTAAGATTAGGCGCACCACCCAACTCTTTGTCCAGCCTTATCATCCTCAACAAACCACCTTTATCTTCCATTCTAAATCTTTTATCTTCTCCATCACTATCATCCTTATCCCCACCATCTATATCTTCATCAACCCTTTACTCGTCATCTATCTCTCTATTAGCCTTCTTCCCATCATTTATATCGCTATCATCCTTCGTCTTGTAATCATCCTTCTTTTTCGCACCATCCTTCTTGTCAACCTTCTTCTCAACAACCTGGTCATCATTCTGGTAATCCTGTCTCCTCTCATCATCCTTCTTCCTCTGGTCCTTCTCCCTCTCATCATCCTTCTTCCCAACGTCCTTCTTCCTATCACTACCCTTCTTCTTCTCATCCTTCTTCCTCTCACCATGCTTGTTCTTCTCATCATCCTTCTTCTTCTCGCCCATCTTCCTATCATCATGCTTCTTCTTCTCATCCTTCTTCTTCTCATCATCCTTCTTCCTCTCATCATCCTTCTTCTCATCATCCTTCTTCCTCTCATCATCCTTCTTCTTCTCATCATCCTTCTTCCTCCTGCCCTTCTTCCTATCATCATGCTTCTTCTTCTTATCATCCTTCTTCCTCTCGCCCATCTTCCTATCATCATGCTTCTTCTTCTCATCCTTCTTCCTCTCACCATCCTTCTTCTTCTCACCATCCTTCTTCCCATCTTCTTTCTTTTCATCTCTCCTCTTATCATCGACCCTCTTCTTCTCACCATCCTTCTTCTCATCTTGTCTCATATCGTCCTTCTTCTCATCATCTTTCTTCCTGTCTTCTTTCTTATCATCTCTCTCGTCATCATCCTTCGGTTCACCCATCCTAGACTGTCTCCTCAATCTCTCTAACTCCATTATCACCCTCTTATGCTTGGCACTATCGCAATGCCGTTCATACCTATACTTGGTGTCGAAGACAGCATCCTTACAATAGGGGCATCCAAAATTCTCCAGATAGGTCATTGCTGTGGCCATCTTCCCTGGAATAGAAGAAACACACATTACATATGCGTCGAGATAAGCAGGTTGTCGGCGTACTCTTCCATACCTAGAGGTTACAGGAGCAAAACCCTGGACATCTAACGATTCCGCATTATCGCCACCCACATTACTATCACAATAGTCACTGTCAGGAGAGTCATCTATCGGTTTACATGACGCATCTCTATCGGCATCTACATTGTCGTCACTGTCAAGGAAGTCGTTTATCGGTTCACATGGTGCATCACTGTCAGATTCTTCGTCACGTTGGTTGTATATTCTTAACCGATCTACATGAACCACCTGTTTACGTCTAGAGGTACCATCTCCAATCTCATACGTTATGTCACTGAGCTTTCGCACAACTTCAAATGGTCCTTTCCATCGTTTCGCGAATTTGTTGGGAATGCCGGGCGTCAATGTTGGTGTAAACAGCCACACTTTATCACCTTGGGAGATACATCTCTCCACTTTGGTTTAATTCTCGATTCAACCCAGGTCTCAATGGAACCAACCTCTTTATCATCTCCTTGCATCTTCCTTATGACATTAGTATCAATACCTATAAGTCCTACTAACCCGTCACATTCTTCTGTATTTTCATCACCAACTCCACACTGAACACATGGTCTTTGACTCAACGCATCGGCGTTATTATGTACTCGGCCTGCTCTATGTATAACTTCAAAATTAAATTGGGCTAACTGTTCGATCCAACGTGCTACCTGACCTTCGGGATTTTTAAAGTTTAACAGCCACCTTAATGCTCCATGATCCGTTCTGAGAGTAAATTGTTTTCCGTAGAGATAGGCCTTAAAGTATTTCACGAAGTACACAACGGCCAAAAGTTCTTTACGCGTAACACAATAATTTCTCTCAGCTTTAGTGAGGGAACGACTACCATAAGCTATGACACGTTCTACTCCATCAAAAACTTGAGACACCACAGCTCCAATTCCATAACCACTCGCATCAGTATCCACAATGAAAGGCTTGTTTGGGTCAGGATACGCCAGAACAGGACTTTCAGTAAGTTTGTGCTTAAGGGTATTAAAGGCTTCCTCACACTCTTTTGTCCAAATAAACTCTCTACCTTTTTCAGTGAGTCTATTTAAAGGTTTAGCTATAGCTGAAAATTGTGGAATGATCTCCGATAGTAACT